AACTATTTACAGATGTACAGTAACATATCCATAGTGCGCTACACCCACAAACGCATTACGTATACGTATTACGTATACGCACTTTGACATATCCATGACCACACCCACACCTATACAAGTTATGCATATGCCCAGCACTCACCCTTACACCTATTTACTCGTATATATAAGAAATAAGATAAACTTATGCGAAGATACCTCAACACATGCATAAACAGAGCATGAGTCATCCAAGCCGAAATCAACAGGAAGTCTCATGCAACCCAAAACTCTGGAATGCAATCGAACGTCGCTGAACAAAAAGCCGTTATGTTTGTTTCTGTTTTGTGTTCTTTAATTAAATTAATTTTCAGGTTTTGTTCTCTTAGATCTGGGTAAATGGTTAAATGTTGTAATTTAAGGAATGTAATTGTGATGTCAATTAGTACTAAGTAATAATAGTGAGGAATCATTGTTGTTTTGTGACGCTTGGTGCTGTCCGTAGGGCTGGGCGTCACACTTCTAGGGCAGGGTCGTCAGGTTGATTTCGTTGCTTGGAACCAGTCTCCAACTCTCACGTCGCCAGATCTGCCTATTTTGACCCAGCATGCCATGTTTGGCGTCTTCTCGCCCCACAGCTTGAATCGTCTCTGCTGGTGACCACGGCGTTCGTTTACTGATTGTTTTACTATATCCACTTGTCGCTGTGTCAGGTCGCATCCACGGGGCACCTCCCAGTGGTCTGGTATGGCTTTTGTAGTTTTGCTTGGAATCACTATCGGCATCAGTGTTGGCCTTTGTTTTTTCTCCCTTCCACTGATCAATACGGTACTGTTTCCGCACGTAATGATGGTTCCTGCGTCCCTTAAAAAGTCCATTCCGAGTAGTGGAGTGTCTGGTACACCATCCATTATTAGAAATGATAGTGTCGTCTCCTGGCCTCCTAGCTCTACATCGGTTAGGAACTTACGAGTGGTTTTTTTTGTACTTCCGTCTGCGAGTCTGATCAGTCTCTCCTCTTTTTCTTCCTTCCCGTTGTTATGCAGTATTCTTGCCATGTTCTCGTTCAAGATGCTCCTTGTGGCTCCCGTATCTATTACCACTTCCATCCTCTTCCCGCCGATCCTGGCCATCCCTATGAGTTGGTTGTCCTCGTATCTTAAATCTGTGGTGTTTCGCTCCTGGGCTCCGGGTGATTTGCGGGATTGTCCCGGGCCCTGTGCGTTTTCCAGTGGTTTTCTGCAGCAGTCTATCATCCTTCTCTAATGCAGGTCCAGAAAATGCGCTCCGAGAGAGAGATGCGTTGCGGAGGATAATGCGCTCCGTGAGAGAGGAGGAAAATGCGCTCCGAGAGAGAGATGCGTTGCGGAGGATAATGCGCTCCGTGAGAGAGGAGGAAAATGCGCTCCGAGAGAGAGATGCGTTGCGGAGGATAATGCGCTTCGGGGAGAAGTAGACGTTGCGGAGGATAATGCGCTCCGTTGCGGAGGAAAATGCGCTCCGAGAGAGAGATGCGTTGCGGAGGATAATGCGCTCCGAGGAGAAGTAGACGTTGCGGAGGATAATGCGCTCCGAGAGAGAGATGCGTTGCGGAGGAAAATGCGCTCCGAGAGAGAGATGCGTTGCGGAGGATAATGCGCTCCGAACAGGAAGGGAGGACGGAGGAAAATGCGCTCCGAGTAGGAAGGGAAGACGGAGGAAAATGCACTCCGAATAGGAATAGGAAGAAAAACCGCAAAGATTAAAGTGTAGAGGAATCGTACACAGTAATCAATGCATTACAAATGGACGGTATATAGCAGGGATAGTTGTGTGCTAGAGGAATCGTGCGCTCTAAACACCACAACAGTCAATGCTTACCAAAGCCTCGGGGATCGCGTCCACCATTGTCCAAGACAGGAATGATCCGGATGGATCTGGCGTGGCTGCTTTTATTGCCAAAAGTCAGCTGTTGGCTCCCTTCTTTGGCACTAGCGCGTTACCATGATCAGCTGCTAGTGTGGCCGTTTGAATCTGAGAGCTGGGCACACTGTTTGCGGGTGGATTCAAATGTTGGAGTGTGGCCGTTTGTAAGTGATCGCTGGTTATATCGTTGGCGCGCGGTTTTAAATCTTTGGGTGTTCCTTAGTGATCGCTGGTTATATCGTAGGCGCGTGGATTTAAAAAGTCGTGATTTTGTTTCTGTTTTGTGTTCTTTAATTAAATTAATTTTCAGGTTTTGTTCAGATTTTTAGGTATTCATAAATATTTATCAATATCATACAAATATAAATTATATGCTAAGAATTTTGGAAACCAGGACTCTGCAATGACTATAATTAATATAGTTAATAATTAATTAAATAATAAAAATGAATAATTAATTAATTAATAATGCTCGTGTAAATGGGCATCCTAATTAAAGAGCTAAGTGGCTTTTGGGCTGTTTTCATAATGTTGACTGAGCTATTTATACATCATTCGTGCGTTTCCTTGGCCTTTTCTTAAAATTACTTAGATTTTGTCAGTCCTACCCTCAGCCAAAGCCGTCACTAATTAACGAAAAGCCCTACACAAGGCTGCCACTCATCGACCACACCACCCGCCTCCAGCCGCATCTCCCCGTGTGCCTGTCTACGCCCATATATGTTGCGCAACTTAACTTTGGGAATTTTGTTTGCATTGATTGGCTCCCGAGTGCTATGCCCGCTTGGCTTTCCATTGTTCTCGGTAGGCTTTTGTTTTATGTTATTGTTATGTTTTATTCTCTATGGCCTCCTGCTCTTGAAAAAGTATCATGGCTCTTCTGCGGGGTTGCGGTGTGGATCAGCTATTTGGGGTGGGCGACAAGTGTGGGAACTGAGAGATAAATGCCCGAAACAGCTACATTTTTGCTATTATTTTATTCCTGGAACTTTTGTTTGCTCTTTTAGCAAGCAATTAGTTTGACATAACGCATTTCGACCTTATAATCAGATTACAACCTATATCACAACATGCATACATATGCACATACATAGATACAAATGTATCTCAAATCCAATTCCCTTTTTAATTTTTCTTTCTTTTTATTTATAATAGAGGGCTGTTAAAAGGTTTCTGATTGCTGATTGACTCCTCTTCCGGTCGTTATTTCAGCCCCTTTTTTTCCAAGAACAAATCGATCTTCCATTCAAAAGAGAAACCAGCTCCTTCGTGGCTTGCCAAATTTCTTACATTCGAATTCTCCTCCTCTCCGGGCGAACATCCTAATTAGCAAGAACAATGAAATCGATGCAACATAAATAGGTACATAGGTATATGCATATGTATTAACATATATACTTATAAAGTGGCCCACAGTTGCTATGTAATATGGGAACTATACCGCGACCAGCTCTCTCACGATTCAGTCTGCCATTCTGTAATGTATTGTTTCCTCTGCCATTGGCTGGCTTTAAACTTCGACAGTATTGTCTGTGCTCCCCCATTGTCCCTGGCGCGTTTCGGGGGCGCTTACACTTTTTAAGCGGATTTTTATTTTTGGTCCACTTGAACTCTTAATGTGCGTGCTGTGGCCGCTGTCCAGCCCGGTTTTGTTCGAGGGCCAGCTTAGAGTGCTGTTTTCCTACTGCACTGGCAGTGCAGTCCTGTCCGATTTATAGCTCGCAGCCCCAATGGCATTGCCAGTGGCTCTCCACATTCAACCTTCCTTGCCCCCGCACGACCCCTTCGAAAGCCATTACATTCAAGTTTTAATGCCACGCGCTGCTGAAATGTTTCAATCAGCGAACAACGGCAAAGGGGATCCACGGTCATCGCATCGCAGTCAGAGAGCGACGTACAGATACATTCTCACCAATTTCCCAAGACAGTCATGGGTCTTATCGTGTTTTCTCTTCCCCCATGCACGAAACACTTTGAACTTTCCGGTTCTTGTCGTGACCCTATTCCTGGACAAGCTATGGTCAGTGGGCCCGCGTGTGAGGGGAGACTTTCCACAGGAAATGGTATTCCTTATAAAATTTCTGCCTATAATAATGCTTCGACTTAATCAGAATTCTATACTCTCTGAGTACCGGGAATAAGCACACCCCCCTGAGCTTGCATTCAAAAGTAATGGCGTTCTGGCTATAGTTCCAGCTCAGAATTAATGTGCTACAACAAGAATGAATAATTTGTGTTTATTTGAATCACTTGAATGTGGTCTAGAACCTTTAACCTTTAACCTCTCTGATATACCACTCAGCACTCTGCTCCAGGATCAACTCACACCGAATAATTTGAGTTGATAATTATTATTAATTATAATTCAAAGCTTATATATACATAGTATATTTTGTCTTATGGTCATATTTATTTTCCAATAGATTCTCATTTGGACTTTCCCCATTCTTATCCCCATCATTGTAATCAAGCTCTTAAGCAACTATTTTTATCAAATTAATTGTATTTTGCTTAAATATACAGGTACGAAAGCCATGCACGATTCATAAATTTAAGAGAGGACGACCGGTAAGGCACAATGAATTTATTTATAGTTGTTCCATTTGATTTTGAGCAGTACGATTGCTTAGTAAGACTGAAGTTGCTTAACTTGGAGTTCAGAGCAACACCAACAATTCGAGGATGGTAATCAAAATGGAGAGGAGCAACTGATCCCGGATCAACGAACGTAGTCGAGGTGGTGGCGACTAACCGTGCAGCCGGCTTGGGCTTATTGGCATCCCTTCTCATCTAGAAGGGATTATATTCTTTTTTAGAATTGACGGAATGGGCAGCCTGAAACTCTGACTTAAGATCCCGATAAAGGCTTTCAAGCTACAGCTTCAGTCATTAGTATCGTATGTTTTCGACTGCCATAAAAAGTTAGGCATTTGTTAGATTTGTTAAAAGTCCAGTGTGCAGGGATTCCCTCCTGGCGGTGTGGGCGAAATGTAACTGCCGGATGATACTTCGATGGTGAAGAGAGAGAGAGAGAGAGAGAGAGGAAGCATCTAAAATATGTACATACATATGTATGTATATGTACTTATAACATAAATAATCATATATATTCGACGTACAAATATGTATTTATAATTATTTTAACTTGGCTCGTTTGGGCAATTGATCTTCGGTTAATAATAAATCATTTTCAAATCTAATTTGATCTACCGCTCTGCCACTGTGCTAGTCTGAATTAATGGAGAACGATTGTGGGGATGTATTTGGGGATGGTGATCTCATTTTCTTTCGGTTCGGACTCTCCTGCTCTTTATCGTCTTGTTGGGAACGCTTTTGGGGATACTTCTTGAGTGTCTTAGAGCTCTGCTCGTTTGATCTTTTCATGTACTCCAGGATCTCATTCCGCTTAGCTTGTTGGGTCTCCTTGAGCAAACGTTGCTCCTGATCCCGCTTCAAACGCTGCCGCTCCAGATCGCACTGGTACATCTGATAGCGCTTCTCCAACAGCCGCTGACGTTCCGACTCCTGCGCCGCCAGCTCACGGCCACGTATCAGTTCCTGAGGAAGATTTGCCAGAAGCCGACGACATGACTCAACCTGCTGTTGAGCTTCCTCAATGTCGATCTGTTCCTCGTTCTCGAGCGTCGACAGGTGCTCAAAGTGTCTGCGGTAGAAGACAGCGTTCGTTCGTATCGCCTTTTCCAATATTGCACTCACCTGAGGGCCACTTTCAGCTCCAGTTCGGCCAGCTCGAGCTGGTGCATTTCTGGTTGGGACGAGTCAAAGATGGCCATCGTGTCCTCTTTGATGGCCAGGGCCAGATTGTAAAGTACAACTGGATCATCGGGTGCCACAAGGCGAGCCTTCAGGAGCCAGATCTTGGCGTCGCGCGTTTCCTCCATCATATACAACGCTTGGGCCAAGCCCTGGATTACCTCCACAGAATTCCGGTTGCCCTCCTGCCGCATACAAAGCTTGTAGGTCTGTGACGCCTCCTTGTACTGTCCTCGCTGCAGGGAGACGTGCGCCAAATTTAGGATCGCCTCTGGGCACCTTTGACGGGTCTCCAGGATCGTCTTGAAAACCAGCTGGGACTGTCTCAGAAGACCAAGAGTGCTGCACACGGCTGCAATACCATTGGCTGCGTGTTGATTTTGTCTGTTATATTTCAGGGCCTGGGAAGAGCATCAATATTGAATATGACCAGTAAAAAATCAGGAAGATGGACTCACAATCCGATATGATCGCAGGGCATTATTTGCATGACGGTCGGCATCAGTAATCTCGCCCCTCGCCAGGCAACTTTGCATGCTGCCGAAGCTTAAGTTTCCCGCCACGACCATGCAGCTGTCGGCAAACATTTTGTCACAGCGAGCCAGGATCACATTACTGTTCTTCAATGCGCTGTGGTTTTGGCCCATCTTCGCATAACAGTTGATCAAGTAAATTCTGTAAATAAATACATACATACATGTATGTATGCAAGTATATATATAAAAGTAATAGAAGTAAAAGTATATTTTCTGTTTTGATTTTTCCGCTACATTGCAATGAATTGGTAGCGCATAGAAGGGGTGGGTTAGCCATGGCAAATGAATATTATCAGAATACGATAAATACACACTAAACTAACCCAAAATCAATGTACTTCCGGTCAACTTTGTAACTTAAGTCCCATACATATGTATGTACTAAGCCTGTGCGCAGCATTTAACCAAGTCAGAATTAAAATGAAAATAGTAAAGAGTTTACCTAGCAATCAGCTGGCCCGACACATCTTTGCCGAAGGCATCTTTGAAGTGCTCGACGGCCTCATACCATTTCTTTCTCTTCGCCGCCATTATGCCCAGCCTCACAGAGCAATCGGAGTTTGCGGGGTACTCCCTGAGCAGGGCGTTGTAGGAGATCTCGGCCAGATCGAATCTGTGCAGCTCTTCCAGTGCACGGCTCCGATTGAGTAGGAGAGTGAACCTAATGATTTCACAGTCAGTTCCTCTGTCCAGAGCCTGGTCAAAGGTGTCGATGGCCTCCAGTGGCTGCTTGTTCTTCGTTTGGGCGTTTCCCAGATTATTCATCCACTCAATGGGCACCGTCAAGCCCTGTGCTAAGCAGACGTGGATGGCCTGCTGGTAGGCACGGACGGTCTTACTCCAGAGCTTCATCAGTTCATAGATCTGGGCCAGCAAGATCCAGCTGTCATAGTCATTTGGGTCTTGGTTTAGTACAATGCCAAGCATATCAGTGGCCTGGTGCAGCTTTTTTGGTGACTTATCCCTCAGGTAGAGCGCGGACAGCAGGCGCAGTGTAAATGGGTGCTCTGGCCGCAGCTTCCGCAGGATCTCAAGGATGCGCTCCGACGTATCCGCTTCTCCCCGGAGCAGCCACATCTGGGCCATCCCTATATAGTTGGGGGCCAAGGTGGAGGCGACTGGGTGCGCCCGAACTGATCGATTGTAGTACTCTACCGCCTTATCAAACATGCCGGTGGCATGGCTGCTGCGAGCAATCTGGTAGCAGATCTGGGCCAGCAGCCCGGGGTGGTCGGTGAGGTGCAAGGCCTTGCCGGCCAGGGCCAATGCCACTTCGTGCCTTCCCACAAAGAAGAAGTGACGGGCCAAGTAGCTCAGCACTGAGGGGTGTTCCATATTCAGTTCATGGGCTGCGCTCAACAGATTCATGCCCTCCTTCATGGCCTGGGGCTCACTCTTCCGCAGCTGCAGCAGGGCCAGGCCCAGTACAGCCTCCTGTGAGCGCCCGTTCTGCACGATGGCCAGCTCAAAGAAGCGCCGGGCCTTTTTCAGATCATTCTTCTTCAGGAAGCAGTGGGCAATCCCCACCCGGACATCGCACTGCCCCCGCGGTTCGTACTCCAGCACACTCTGGAAGAACGCCAGCGCCTCGGAATAGCTCTTCCGATTATATGCCAGACAGCCGCGTCCGATCAGGGCCGGCACACAGCCGCCGTCCCGATGCAGCACATTGGCAAACATGTTGTCGGCCTCCTGGGCGCGGCGCGCTGTCAGCATCAGGCCATAGCCATAAGTCAGCAAGTATTGGTAGTCGCTCGACATGAGGTCCGTGTCGACCATTTCAATCAGGTTGATGAATTTGGCTAGCAAAGCCGGCCGACCTTTTTTCATCTCCTTGTGAGCTTCACGGATGACTTTGGCCGCCAACAGGATGTACGACCTGCTCAGATCGTACTTGTAGTTGGAGTAGGGCACTACGCACTTTTTGATGCCTGTTTCGAGCGTTGAAACAAACAAACTTTTGTCGCCACTCCTATAGTAATTCACCTATGGGAAGGAGCCATCGGTCAGCGCACAATCAGTCCAACAAGTAACGATCTAACATTCTCAACTTACGGCTTCTCCCACGGCCCATCGAAGTTTCTGTCGCTCCTCGTGATTTTCGTCCATGCTGTCAGGAAGGAATAAATAGTCAAACCAACCAATAAAGAAATTGGGAAATTCACAAAAAACCGAATTGAATCGAAAATGAAAAAATGACAAGTAAATCTGTACGTGGTTGATCGATGAGGCTCTTTTTTTAATCTCTGCTCCGTTCTGCTGTGGACAATCGAATGAATGTCAGAAGTTGAACACCTGGGCTTCTTGCTCTCTCTTGTTCCCTCTTTCTTCTCCTCCTTTCCTCCTTGTGTCATCGGTGTCTCCGTTTTGGCTTTATGTATGTCTGTTGCTTAGGCAACTCCAGCCACCTACTTAACAGTGGGGTCTTCTCTTATATAGCCCTTTTACACTGGGCGCGTCTGCTATCGATATCGGAATAGACGCAATGAAGCAGAAAAGGGGCTTACATTGGCAGACGTGCGTCTTGAATTTTGATTTGGGTGCTTGATGACAAGGAAAGAATTATGGAATACAACAAGAAAATGGACGAAAGAGAATTGATTCTCATATTTATTTATTTTTTTAAGACATTTCTTTGAAGAGTTTGTGGGAGTTCTCTTCAAACTATGAAAACCATCGAAGTTCGTCTCCAGCAGTATCTAAATGGCATCAGGGGGTCACAAAAATGTCGTATGATAATAATACAATCAGTTTAAAGTATTTTATTTAATGATTTTGTGTATATTTTCACCTTTTTGCACAACCATACATTTTTAGCGCCAACATTTGATTTTTTATCTACAAGTTATTATTAATTGTCATTAGTGGCGATAATTGCGCTGATAGGCAGAAAAGTGCAAAAATGAAGCGCAAAGCAATCGAATATATCGAATAGACGCAGAGACCGACGCAACTTTTTGCCACCACTAGGGCCCTATGCTTAACCTATGTAAACAGACTATTATATAGTGTCCCCGTTGGACATTAGCTAAGTTTCAGACATTTTGGGAAGAGAGTATGTAACTCGTGTACCTTCTGTTTTTGGGGTCGCTGAATCCGAATCAACTTAACGCTAGGTCTCTTGTTGGGAAATGAGTTGCCTAATTTACTTTTTTATCGCCTTATTACTTATCATTTTTTATTTTTTATTACTTTCCCTAATACAGTCGACTCATTGGCAACGAACTCTTTACGCTGACTACGAATTGGAAGTCAGTTATATTGTTTCAAGCTGTAATGAATTCTTTTTATACCCGTACTCAAAAAAGAGTTAAGGGGTATATTAGATTTGTGGTAAAAGTGGATGTGTGTAACGCAGAGAAGGAAACGTTTCCGACCCCATAAAGTATATATATTCTTGATCAGCATCAATAGCCGAGTCGATATAGCCATGTCTGTCTGTCCGTCTGTCCGTCTGTCTGTCTGTCTGTCTCGATGAGCGCCTAGATCTCAGAGATTTTAAGAGCTAGGGCAACCAAATTTGGTTTCCAGACTCATGTGATATCCCACTGTTTTAAGAAATTAGAATTTCGCCCCGCCCCCTTTCGCCCCCACAAAGAACGAAAATCTGTGGCAGGCACATTTTTAAAGATACGATAAAACTAAAAACGCAGTATCGTAGATAATGCCCATATCTACCAGACTGCCGAATCTGAATCAGATCGGATCATAATTATAGCGAGAATGAAGAAATTAATTTTCAGTTGCTTACCCTGCCCCCTCCAGCAAACGACAACGCAACTCATTTTCCATCTCGCTCGCACACTCTGCCGCGTTCAGTGCGCGAGCAACCCCTAGCGGAGGAGATGTAGAATCTAAATGGTACATGTATAATCTACATGTTAGATGTATAATATACATTGTATATGTAGATGTAGATAACAGAAGTAGCAAAAAAATGTACAAAATTTTTTTTTTTTTAATGCTAAAATTCTAAAAAATCATATGTTCAAAAATGTAAATACTGACTGAGTACGGGTATGCGCCCCCCCAGAAGCGACTCACGTTACCTCCCGTTTCCTTATACAATACATACATATGACTGTACATTGCACAGGATCAATTCTGCGGGTCATTTTTCTTTTCAGCATCCATCAAAAAGCTGCCATCATGTTTAAGTCCCACCTTTCCTGATAGATAGCTCGGATGACTTTCATATCCTTAAGGGAACGTTCATCTTGATGGACAGATAAACATAGCTTTATTTGCTCACCTATTGATGCTGATCAAGAATATAGAATATATACTTTATATATTCCTCTGGCTGTTTCCGAGAGAGGGAGATGGGAGATTCATACAATGAAACCATATTCAATGTTATTTGATTGGTCCGTACTCAAAGGCAGCCTACGTACTCTATATCCGATACTTTATTTCCACTTCACACAGAATTGGGAAACGGCTTAAAGTTGTTTGCGGTTTCACCAATAAGAAGGGCTGACAAAAGTGCGCGGCCGGATTTTGGGGGCAGTTGCAACGGACTGTGGGGCTCGGGAGCTGATGAGGCAGACTCCGGGAGTGGAATAAGACAGGAAGGAGGTGCACACGGCACCACGACTATTAGGTGAGCTGACAGTAATGTTGCACCTCGAAAGGGGCATGTGGGAGGGGGTTCAGTTGTATTCAGTTTTAGGGACAAGAGGCAAGGCTAAAGGGTCCCCTCCCTCATTCTAACCCATTCCAGTTCCCACACCCACTTTGACTTCCAGGGCCGCCCTTCTTCCCAGCCCAGTAACAGCCCACTCCAGCAACTGTCCAAGGACAGTTTCAGTGTCCTGGGCTCCATATCGAAATCCAATGCTGTCACTTGTCCGGGCACTTCACGGCAGCCAGTGATCTCCCTCGAGTGCGTTGAACATAAGGTCCTTATGGCTTTGTGCATGTGTATGTGTGTGTGTGTGTCCCGTCCCCTGACCTGACCCCTGTACCGTGTCTATGGCCTGGCCTGTGTCCGGGTCGTGCCGGGGCTTATACAACCACTCAGTGACACAAATAAAAGTAAACATGATAAAACCATTGAAACTTTTTCCATTTTCACTTTTGAGTGTGTTTGTATTTTGCTTCACTTTGGTTTTGTGTTGAAGTACTTCCTGCTCTTGCCCGGCTCCTCTTGGCGACAAGTCCAACCAAACACACACACACACACACACACACACACAGATGGTTGTACACCAACACATTCACAGCTGCATCTGTGTCCAAGTTAATCTCAAGTGCAGCCGAGAGCTAAATATTTACCATTGGCGTTGACTCTGCGAGTCTCTCTGTACACACACCAAGCTGTCTCCCTCTTCTCTCTCTCTCTCTCTCTCTCACTCTCTCTCGCTCTCAGCACAATAACCCTCACTGCACAACTATCCGCACGTTCCCGTCTTGACGCTGACTCTTTTAAAGGCAGGCCGGGCCCCACTGTCCACCATTTTGTGTTGACTTCTCGCTTATCATCGATGGTGTTGAGGTCTCTGCAGCCAAACAGACAATCAAATGACCCGCACTTTTCTTCTCATTCTCCCTCCCTCTGTACAATTTCACTTCTTCACTCTGTCTCTCTCTCTCTTTGCCTCTTTCTCTCTCCTGGCTTGCGTCTCTCCGTGTTTGCGCTTAGCCAACAAACCCAGCCAGAAGTTGTTAAACTGCAAGCCGGAGCATGCTCTTCCTTCGTAACATCTCTAGGGGTGTTTCCATCTTGTCCAGAAAGAATATCCCACTCTACAAAGATAATACGTTTCTAAACGCCAGCTGCCTTGTTTAGCAAATTTCGTACAATTTTTCAGAACAAATTCGGACTCTCCGATTCGCAGGGTAGCCGAAACAGGAATAAAAACAGAACTTGTGAGGCTCAAGGGTTATAAATAGCATTTATAATGTCGTATCCTTTCTTAGTCTGCACTTTTGACTCTTTGACTTGTCTTTTCATACATTTTGAATACGTATTTGTCTGTGAGTGTATTTAAAGCTTCGAAACTCTAAGATCATCTTATTTTCCACCTATTTCTTTTCCTTTTCGGTTCTCTTCCCTGCAAAGAGTTGAATTTGTTGCGCATAAATTGTTCATGCTGCAAATCCTGGACTCTGGATTGAATTGAATTTAAAGAAATACACTTGAGCTTGGATTCACATGACGGCCAGCCTACTTTTCTGCTCTTACTCTACATATGTACAGATGTAAAATTCCAATAGCAATAAGACAAGTGAAAAATTGAAATAAAAAAGGTAAATGCATCTGCCCCGCCCGCTATATGTATGCATGTTTTTGAGTGCGTGTTGACCGCTGGCAATCTGCTGCTCCTCCGCTGATGCTGTTATTCATGAGTCAATCACATCAGAAATCTCTCAAAGCCCGCAGATGGCAATGTGTTCCTCCCCGCCTACAGTTTGTTTTATTATATGATGCACATACATATATACATACATATAAACGAATATGTTTTTCTTTATTTGCCATGCAAGGCGAGTGGGATGATTGAGAGGGGAGTATTACAAACAGACAGGCCCACTTGGCCCGTGTTTAAACGAGTACCAAACGGTTTGGTAGAGTGTAGGGTGTAGGTTTGAACCAGACAGGTTGCTGTGCCAACCGACGATACGTCTGCTTGCGACGATGATAGATTTTGGAGTGCCCTCTGCTACGCAGACGAGCCGCCCTCACAGCTTTCGTCGGAGGAAGAACTTCGAGACAGGGCAAAAACCTTTAAAAGCGCGGGGCAGAAGCAAGTAGGCAATGCTGGGCGTAAGAAAAAGAGACAAATTTCTTGTAGTGAATTTTCATAATGCATAATAATTATGATTAAAATTACAAATAAAAGGGGGATTTCGTAAAATTAAAGCAGATCGTCAGATGGGTTTATATTTATTTATTTATTCCAAAATTTAAAAATCAACAAAAAGTCATGTACCAACGAAACATTTACATACATGTATCTACCTAATTAATGTGGTCGGAAAAAGGGCACAAAAAATGTTTAAATTTATGGCTAAAAACAAAACAAAACAAAACAGAACAACAGCGCATTGTTGCATATCGAAGACGTTGATAAACGTCACTCAAAAAGCAGTATAAGGTGGCCGTGCATTCTGGAACAGATGTTGCGTGAAATTATATAATACTTTTCCATTTGTCGTAGGGGCACTAAGTCCATTTATGTATAGACTGTTCCCGTTTTTAACATCAAGTTTCAATATTTCAGCATCACCCAAACCAAACCCCAACACACCCTAACACAACCTTTGCAATTTGTCAGCATTATAAAGTGGCCGATAAATGGTCTGGGGCGTGGCTGTGGGAATGGCGGTTGCATTGGCCTGGTGGCGAGTGTGAGTGACCTGCATTGTGTTGTGTCTGCAGCAATATGATACGCTTGGTTGGAGTCTCAATAAGTGCCGAACGGATGCAGGAGCCAACCGAGGCTGGCAATCGAGGCAATGATTGCTTAAAGCACAGTTTTGCTCGAAGGCTTTCCGGGGATCCGGGATTCCGGGATTGTCAGCAAGTGAAGCTGACAAATGTTTCATGAAGATTTAACGCACTCGGCGATCCAACGGGGCGCCTCATTATGAGCCGGATACGGATTAACTTTGGCGGAGGCGCACCATCGCGTTCCATCCCTTCGGAAAGTGCACGTAATGATGTCTTAATTAAGCTGCGTCCCTTGCATCACTGGAATCGGTAATGGCAGTGACATGAGAATGGAAAATTCTGCTGTGCTTAACATGAGTTCCAGTGAGTTGGCAGAATTCCAAAACAGCTTGCCATGCTCCCCCCCTCCCCCCCCACCCCACCTCATCCGCTAAAGGGCAGAAGTCAATGCTCCCACGCTTCCAGATATCAATCAGATGGTTCTCGGTAAGGGGAAGTGGCGGTGGATGGGGCAGGGTAGGGTAGGGTGGGGGTGTTGATTATGGCTGTGCTCTGTGACGGCGCGCTCGGCAATCATTTACAGAACAGCTTTTGGCTTTCACTTTTAACACATCCCGCAATTAATTTCCGTTTGATTGTTTGCCTCCATCTGTCCTTTGTCCCCCTTTCCAGAATGTCAGTTAATTGCATTGGGGCTTCTGTTGGTCCGCTAAAGCTCCCTCCTCTTAGCGCTCTTTCTATCTCGCTCTGTGCGATGCATTTTCCGCTATAAATAAAGTTCTGTGGAAAGGAATACAGTTATCGGCGGGCGGCAGTGGGGAGGCAACTGCCATGTCAACAACTTTTGCGTTGCAACTTTTATTTCGTTTTTAGCAGGCGATGACACCCCTGTCTGGGGGGTGCAGTGGTGCAAGGTGGTATGCTATATGCTATATATATGTATGTGTATTGCCAGGCAGTGTTGCCAGGCAGCATCTGCAAAGTTCCTAAGACACGCCTTAGTCCCGCCAGCTGGTTCCAGGGGCCTGGTGGAGAGCAACAAGTACTAGGGCATCTGTGACCTGGCTTGAATCATCTTTTCCTACCAGATGGACCTCGGAAAGTCTTTACTTTCTAGCAGAAAACGAACAAAGAAAACAATTTTAGTATTATATTAATATCAATTTTAATAATGGTACCGTACGGTATTATTATGAATAGCTTAAACAATCCTGTTCAATTTTATTCCGTATGTATGTACATCTAGTAGCCAAGTACAGGGCATTCAGGAAAGATACATAGACATATTTCTAACACAGAACACGACACACAGAACTCACAAAATATATTAAGATAAATAGTAATTCAAACTGAAAATCAATATCGGCTCACCGCACCACACACGGCAGTAACACACATTGATACACATTGAGGACTCATCGTTCGCACCCATCAGCTGAGGAGCAATTGAAAAACAATTGGAAAACCCTTGTAGCAGCTTATTCTATTGAGGTAAGCCAATCGCTGATTGTCTTCAGCCGCGACTTGATCACAGTGGCCTTTGTTCGTCACTCAGCGCTTTCAGAATGGTTATAAATCTGAATCCAGCCACCCAAACCGATGCCTTTGGTATCAGCCTGCCCAGCGGCACAGCGGCAACGGCAACGGCAATGGAAACGGAAGTGATAACAATAACTGGGAAAATAACGGCAGCATGACTGGCGTCGTAAACAACATGATGAGCATCTTCAACCACGCCGTAATCGATGGGGCATTGTACTTGCATGTATTGTATGTCGGTGAGACAGGCGACAAGTGGGTAACCCTGGTGGAAGCCATGCACTTTTGCTACGAAGCGGTATTTGCATATGCCCAGCTACAGCTGGCACTTTTCCAGAATTTCGTACTGGACTCGCTCGAGCTTAGTTCTGAAAATCCATTGTAATTATTAACAGAATTAATTGACCCTCGCCGGTCGCTTTCTCGAAGAGGTCTACCAAAATTTCCAGTTTCGATTCTCCGAAATTCTCTGTCAAGCAAATATATGTATGAACAATCGCACCAATTAAATGAGTTTAATTTTGTCATTTGAATAAGTCAGAAATATTGTAACAGACAATAGCTGCTAGTGCGCCAAATATCACAGAGTACGAGAGACCGATAGGGAGACTATATACAGCTTTGCTTTCAGCAACAATTTGCATTGAACACAACCACTTCATGTGTCCCTTTCACGAACATCTACACCTAAAGTTTTAAGGGACAAATGCATAATGCGACCAGCTCACAGAACTGCCTTTTGTTACGGCTGAGGCATTTCAATTGCAAATTAGCCAAAAGCCTACGTCAACGGCAACGCCTATCCAAAACTAAATATCTTTGGCTTAGCTATGTACGTCTGGCAATTCCAACCACTTTCTGGGCGACCTGCTCCTCCTTGTTCCCTGTTCTCCTAGCGTGGAGACCACGCTCGACCACAGCTGAAGTGTTCCATGTACATTTGCCTGCCGCTTTTTGTGTGTGGCAATTTGAATGATTTATGTTGATTGCGTATAATTGCATGTTGTTTCCTTGTCCTCCTGCTTGTACTCGACACGCCTAAGCAAGTCGCACGCCACGTGACAAATCCATGCTCCCATTCGCATGCCTCACCTTATACATTTTGCGGCGCATTGTTGCTGTGGCTGGGGCCACAGGATAGGCAGGTTGCTGCCGCCTTTATGACGCTCCATCTGTCAGCCGCTTGTTGTGACACTGTCACGGGCCAGGAGGGGCCAGACACCAGGCTGCTTATCTAATTACGCGCCCAAAAGCACGGATGACAAAAAAACCAACCAAGTCGACCGGCGAAGTTGTCTTTTGCGGCACGAAGCTTCATTTGTCTGAAACCAGACGGGCAGGCTGACTAGGAGGGAGTGGCGCGGGACGGCTGACTTTCGCCAAATGGCAGGCCCGCGAGTATTTGTTTCGCTTGCAAACGAAAACGAGCCCAATTTGCAATTTAAACGCGTCCGTTTCGCGTGTGCCTCCCCTCCCGCCCTCTCTTGGTGCAGATTCCTCCTTTGAATGAGTCTCGTCTCCATGGTCGCATGCTACCGCCAGCCATTTGCAATTAAATATTTATTTGCACTGCAAGGGGTCGGGGTGGGGTCTGGTTGGGTGTGGTTGCGGCTGTGGTTGCGTGTGGCACAACAACAAATATGCATTCAGCAGCAAACAAAAAATGAATCAAATCATACAACACAAAAGGCACACGACACGTGTCCAACTGTGTAACATTGTGATCGGATATGAATATTAATGGCTATAAGAAAGACTGACCTTTTGTTCCATATTTTTCTTGCAGCAAGTACATACATCAAGTGGCATGCCACCGGTTCTACCTATTAAAAATGCTACAGGAGTATGCGAAACTTTTTGGCTTTTTGCAATTACTCGCTTAAGTTTACCTGAGAGAATGGAATGGAAATTTCAATGGGAAAATAATTGTACTTAGTATTTGTAGTTGCATTCAAAAATATTTCATTACAATTAAGGGCAAACAATTCCATATAAAAAATCTTACAGACATTACATTTACAGACATGTCAGCCGTTTAACGGGCTTTTATCGATATCAACTATCGATATGGACAGTGCATCATAGGCTATCGACAACAGTGTAAATTTGAATTCGTACGACGTGTGTTACGAATAAAGATTACAAACCCATGGGACTCGACGACTTATTAGCTTTCGGAGCGGATTTATACTCTCCTGTATGGAACTCACGAAGGATTCCTATACCAGTATACATATCCATTAAATTTCTTAAGCATACATAATTTGGAACAAACTTTTTGTACTGCCTAACATGAACTTTATTTTACAGTGCACTGAACCCAAACAATATTTATATTTATATATTTATTTTTATTATTTATTTATTATTTATATTTATCTCTATGCAAATTATTTAAAATGTGTCCCAATTTGTCTGTTCTTTGGACCAAACTACTGTCTTCAGATTATAAATATATTTATTGAATAGACTTTGAATTATTATCATCATTATACTCGGTAATCAAACAGTAAAAAACGAAAAATAGTACAACAGACAAAAGCAAGCGCTACCAAGTCCATATAGTTTATTCCAAATAAGCAGATCTGGATATTAGGGTCTAGCAGGCGAATTTTGCATCCAAGCTCGCATTTATTGTTGTATAAATTAAACAAAGTCAAGGTATTTCCTCAGGGCAATGCCATGTTTTATGGAATTGTGTTTTTATACCCGTACTCAAAAAAGAGTTAAGGGGTATATTAGATTTGTGGTAAAAGTGGATGTGTGCAACGCAGAGAAGGAAACGTTTCCGACCCCATAAAGTATATATATTCTTGATCAGCATAAATAGCCGAGTCTATACAGCCATGTCCGTCTGTCCGTTCGTCTGTCCGTCTGTCCGACTGTCCGTCTGTCCGTCTGTCCGTCCGTCCGTCTTGATGAGCGCCTGGATCTCAGAGACTTAAGAGCTGAGAAACCAAATTTGGTTTCCAGACTCATGTGATATCACACTGCTACAAGTGTATTTCAAAATTTCGCCCCGCCCCCTTCCGCCCACACAAAGGACGAAAATCTGTGGCAGGCACAGTTTTAAAGATACGATAAAACTAAAAACGCAGTATCGTAGAGAACGCCCATATTTACCAGATTGCCGAATCTGAATCAGATCGGGTCATAATTATAGCCAGAATGAAGAAATTAATTTTCAGTTGCTTCCCCTCCCCCTCCCGGCAGCGACAACGCAACTCATTTTCCTTCTCGCTCGCACACTCTGCCGCGTTCAGTGCGCGAGCAACCCCTAGCGGAGGAGATGTAGAATCTAAATGGTACTTGTACAAACTACATGTTAGATGTAGAATATACATTGTATATGTAGATGTAAACAACAGATGTAGCAAAAAAATGAAAAATGTAAAATTTTTTTTTTTAATTCTAAAATTCTAAAAAATCATAATCTCAAAAATGTATATACTGACTGAGTACGGGTATAAGTAGAGTCGTGTCCCCAGAAGCGACTCACACGTTCCTTCTCGTTTTTATTAAAATCCAATTTCTTGGGTTCTGTATTCTGATGTATGTATGTACCTCAGGGAAAGAAGTATATGTGCACTTTTTAATTTGCTTATATTTTCTATGAACGTTACGGTATATTTTTTGTAGGTATAAGCTTGTACTCTTACTATTATAAAATCTCCCACTCCAATGTTCCTCTTTGCGCTTCATTCTTTGTACCGTTTTAAATAATTGTGTAACAACTCGTGGTTTTCAAAGGCAATAAGTATATGTGCAAGCTTAGATTATTGTGCTACGCGTGCGGGTAAGCTAGAAGTGTGATCCAAAAAAGTTATTTAATCAGCAAATGTAAGTAAACTTGTTTTTATACGTTTGGAGACATAAATGTTTGTTATAATTTTGATTTTACGGCAGAATGCCACGTGGAACACATTTGTCGGGGAAGATCGCGGTCTGATCAAAGGGCTGGCCGAATCTGGCAGAATACTTCTTATATGCCGTCAGACTAAATCGGCATAGAAACACAATAGCAAACTTCTCAAAAATCCGGAAATGTATGGAAAAATAGCGAAGCGGCAGACCCACTGAAATCGATACGCGGTGCAAGAGGCAAATTCGTCGTCTAGCCGTTCAAAACAACAGTCTTTGGAGATCAAAGGTCAACTGAAGCTTGACATATCCAAAAGACGTATAAATCAAATTTTAAACGAAATCGAAATGGTTACATATGCTTCCCGCGACGCTGTACCGAGGTTATTGAAGCGCCACATAACCGCTCGACTAGAATTTGCTGAGAAGTACAAATTTTGGTCAGAGGAGTTCACTAAAGTTATATTTTCGGATGAAAAAAAATTTAACTTGGACGGTCCTGACTCCTGCCAAAAGTATTGGCGCGACAAAAGGCAACCACGGCAGCACTGCCATAAACGAAACCACGGTGGAGGACATTAATGGTTTGGGTGTATTTGGGTATGCTGGGAAGTCCCCACTTTGTTTTATCCCACCAGAACAAATGCAGAAATGTATGTAGAGTTGTTGGAAACAATACTCATTGAATTTGCTGGAAACCTTTACGGGATAAGTGGATCTTCCAGCAGACAACGCGCCCATCCACTCGGCACGGAAAAAAAAACTTTTTGCAAGCTAGGAAGATTCCCTTATTCAATGGCCAGCGATCAGCCGGACCTTAACCCCATAGAGGATCTTTGGGAATATTATCCAACAAAATTTATAAGAATGGGCGCCAGTTTGATACGGTAAATGACCTCAAAAAAGCATGCTCCAGGAATGGGATCAAATTAACCCTACAATTCTTAAAAACTTGGCAACCTCAATGCCCACCCGGATAAACAAATTTTCACTAAAAAGGGAAAGCATATAAACTATTAATAAGCAAAAATAAAAATTTTAAAAAAATTATTTCATTAGTATTTTTAATTTTCATTTAGAATGCACATATACTTATTTCATATGAATGGAAAGTTATTCATTTAATATTTAGTTATTCTTAAAGTTTATGAAAATAATATTGTTATTTTTTGTTAATATATACCTTTACTATATATATAAAAAAAAGTTTAAGTCATTCTCTTTGTTTTTAATAGTTTTTTTGTAAGTAATATCAATGCACATATACTTCTTTCCCTGAGGTATCTACCTATATATGAGGTAAAAACTAACGACTGGTTTAATTTCAATTTTGGTGCATAACTGAAAGGTCTGGGCTGTCTCTTTATGTGATCTGGTCGCAATAATCAGGCAGCATAGCATTTTCCAGAGCGGCGAGGAGAGAGGAGAGGACACAAAATAAGGACGGCAGTGCAGCTCCAATCCGAATGCAAAAGGCAAGCTAATAAAATGTACTTTATGCCCGAACGTGCGTGGACTCTAAAAGCAGCAA